CTGAATTAAGTTTGGCGTCTTCTTGAAAGTGTAAATAAGACATCCGTTGCAAAACAAGTTTCCTTAATGACGTTTAAATTAATCTTAGTTGGAGCAAATTCAAGTCTCTTAATGTATTATTTATCTTTAATGGAGACGGACGCTGACCAAATATTATGAATATTAAATGTGTTGTAGAAACACGTGACAAGATAAAGGGGTCTTTAATTAATAAGTTCCTGATGACAAAATGCATTTTAAAATTGTTTAAACAACCTAAAAAGCTTTAGCCAAATGTAGTGAAATAAAATAGTTGAATTTAAAAGTATTTAATCCATATATTCAGCAGAAAAATGGAATTTCCAAAGAAATCTTTAAGAAACTAGTTTACTTTAATTTATGAAGCAAGTCAAAAATCAATTCAATGGGTAGAACATTTTACTCTCTAAGCAAACATGATTATCAATTCATGTTTATTAATAGTTGAATTAATGAATGCATTTATATTAGGATTGTGTTATTCTTGGAATATAATAAAGACATTCTGTAGAAAAGGTTTAAAGTTCAAAGTTTATTATAAGAATATTTCTGTATAATTTAAAGTAATAATTAAAGAATTTATTATGTTGTGGCATTTTTATTTCTTTTTAATATTTGTTTAATAGGTGTTATTATCTTCACTATCTTTTTAAAGTCCCATTTGCTGAATACCAGTTGTATTGCAAAATTTAAATCGACGTATTTTTAGGTGGGAAGACTTCTTCTCTTCTTTTTAATTAATTGCATATTATTAATTTGGCTGGAGGATTATTAAGTGGGAATTAAAAGTGAATACATTTTAATTTTAGAAATAATTAAGCGGTGTTTAAAACAAAACAAAATATGATAAGAAATCTTTGAGAAGACAAATTGAATCTTTGAATATTTCCGAAACAAATTCCATTTCAATGCCAATAAAAATGCATAATATATAAATGTAGGTGTTGTCTGACTTAATTTAAATATTTTTAAGACAAAATTCCTACGAAAAAGAGAGGTATTTATTTCAACATTTCTAACCATTGTTTTTCTCAGTGCACCTGCTCTTTGTGATTTTGGCATTTGTCTTTTGGTGGAAATCGTGGAAATTGTTTAGGATTGTCGCCTCTTTGGGCCAGTTGGCGTTAATGTGGCACGAAGTCTGGGTCTGAGTCTGAGCCTGAAGTCTGGCAGCTGCTAAATGTCAGATATATACGACTAGCATCCCCGTCAACTGACCTTCCCCACACCAACTTCTGCTGGCTTTTTTTTCGCTGTATTTACTGTGACATTTGCCCATTTGGAATTCGCGATGGGTAAGGCTTCCTCTGACCCCCTTAAACCCCCTTTTAACCCCCGATTTCCATTAAATATGGCCAATTTGCGTGGCTTTAACCGTCAATCGAATGCATAATTAAAATCGCATCGAATCGTTGATTTCTTCGTTGGCACTGTAATTTGATTCCGAGTTTTGCCGACTTAATGGGTCTCGTTAGACGCGCCTCGACCATAAGCACTTCATCATCGTCATTTGCTTTAATATCATCATCGCAGGTGGAAAAAAACGGACTTAAAATAACACAAAAAAGAAAAGAAAAACAGTTCTAAGTGGGGAAAATCACAACGCTTCTGTCTAGTTAGCGGCAAATTATGCAAACAATTTGGTTAAGTGTAATCGAGTTGGCCAGAAGCGCGTGCCAGTTTCCAGGCCACATGTTGCAGTTGCTGCTCTCCGGGATTAATTCGATTTTTCCGCTAGCAAAAGTTCTTTCGACTTCGACTAGAACTTCCACTTCTGCTTTCTGCTGTCCCAGACATGCGACATTGGGGCATAAAGTTTTCAATTCTATAAGCGTTGATTTGATTGCCACAACTTTGTGAACCCCAAAGAGACCCAAGAAAGAAGTCACACTGGGAAAAAGAATGAATGAGTTAATTAGTTTCAAGCTGAGAAGATTATGAATGCCTTTTAGTGGAAGTAAAACCAAATTAACATAAGAGAAAATGGTTTCTAAGAAAAAGAGGTAGATATTAGGTAGATATTTCATCCATTTCTTTGCCCTAGTTTTTTCCCTGTGCATTCGCATTACGTATTCAGCAGGCAGGAAGGAAGGAAGGACTTGCGGAAAGAGTGATTCAAGTGCATTCAGCGAGTTTGCTAATTAGCAATGAATGACAAATGTACGCTGCTCACCCTCAACTCCTCCCAATGCCCCTTAAAACGCCGCCCCTGCCAATGCCAGACAGATGCCGTCATGAAGCGTGTGCACACATAAATTTTACAATTCACCTTGAAAATGTAAGCATAAACGTCGTCCCAGATGGAAATCGCAATCCAAAACCGGTCCAAAGTCTATGCTGAGAGCATCGTTAAAGCGAAAGATGAGCTGGGAAAATGCCAGGGGGAGGTGCCACGGGAGGTGTCTTCCCAACAAGGAAGTGGGTTAACTACCTAACCACACATTTAAAAAAATGTCTGGTAATTATTATTCCTCTTTTGAAATCTTTTAAGGTATCAGTTTCAGTATCCCCTTCTCCTATCTTTTTCATATTTATTTTTATTTAAAATAAAATCTATTTTAACCTCATTTCCTATCAATATTTCTCTCTGTGCTCTAAGCTCATCTATATCCACATCCATTTGATGGATTGTCATCACTTTCATCTCGGGATTCCTGTATCCATCACTGGTTTTGGCCTCCACCAGGCAGTGACTTTCGTTTTCAAATAAATACATCGACATCTCTATTGCCAACCGGTTGCCATTGCGCGGTTAATTAGCACACAAATATCAGCTAAAACGCTTGGCTCAAATTGGTTCAAATGTGTACAAAAAAAACCTAAAAACGCACAGAGGGTTGGCTAAATTATAAATTTCATAAATTAACACGGCTAAATCGTAAGTTAATTGAAGCTATTCAAGTAGCTGGCCGATGGTGTTTTGTTTAAAAAAGCGAAACAAACGCATTAATCATCCAAACCTGACTTTAATTGGAGAAATGCTTCCAATTAGATAAGCAATTTAAAGCGGGCAAAGTTGCTAAACAGGGTTTGTGACCTGGATAAAAGGGGGAAATTAGAAAAAGGATATAACCTTGGTATGTTCAAGGGATATATTAAAGGGATATAATCAACAAAAGGACTCCCTTATATTAAAAATGTATTAAAATATTCTTCATTCCTAAAAATGTTTATAAACATTGTACAATTTTAAAAATTCCCCTCACAAAAAGTCCTTGTTCTTTAATAGTTGGCAACTCACAAGGAGAACCAGTTCCACAACCCTATTCCAGCTCTGGTTCCACTCTCTGTCCTCTTAGGGGTTGATTACGGTGGCTTTCCAGCGAAAAGGAGCACCATAACAGAGAGCGGAAAGTGCAGACGAAACGCAACCAAAACAAATGCCGACAATTGACTACGTGACTAAAAACGAGGCAGCTTCCTCCTGACTGCTGACCCCCCTTTATATAAACACACACCCATAGAGAAACAACAAAAAATTAAACTATGCGTTCGTCAATGCCTACACAGACTTTTACGAGTCCAGATATTTAGAGGCTTATCGCCAGGCCGCTGGAGATGGAAATGGGGCGCTGCAGGGAGATGGATGGCAGAGAGAGGTCCAGCGGACAGCGGTCAATTGAAACGCCGACCATGTGGTGACAGATACAGATACAGCTCGCTCTCTCGCTCTGGCTCTCGCTGTCTGAATGAATGAAAAATCACAGAATATGTCACACAGCACAGCATTTCTCCCTAATCAAAATCGAATATTCAATTTAGTTTTGTCCCAGATTCTGTTATCAGTGCAAGGCGGAAGCGGGACAAATACACGTCAGCCCTAAGATGACATTCTAGAACAAATATTTAAAGCAGGAATTTCTCGAGTGAAATATATAAAAGTATCTTGAAAATACCATATTTTCAAATAAAGAATCTCAGGGCAAGTGTCTGCAGTTCAAGGAACCTCAAATGAGCCTCGGGGATATCCTATTTCTGCTTATCTGGCAGAAGTGAGCTCATGGGAACTTACAAAATTACACTATAATTCTTCTTCAAGTATCCATTAGATACTCTGAACCTACCCGATTTCCTTTGGTTTTTTCTTTGCTGAACTTGTTGCTGTGTGGAAAATCTCTGGTATTTGCCGCTGTGCAAAATCACCTGCGACGTTCTTTGTTTACAATTCCTTGAGAACACCGTGATTGCATCGCCCCGGAACGCACTGCGATTGCGTATCTCACAGATACAGACACGCACTTAACCTAGACAAAAACCACAACGTATATGCGCGTATCTCGGGGATGTATTTTCGGTACGGTCCTGTGTGAAAATTCTGGAACCTGTCTTCCCGTCTTTCCCCGTTTGATTTTCGAACCAAATTCCGAACAAATTTTCAAACCAAGAATCTCTGTTTGCATTAATTGCGTCCGCGCGCTGAGCAAATTGGAATGGAACTGATGTTGTTGCCGCTTCGTACGCCCGTAGATAAAGATACATTTCCAGAGAGACGCACTGGGCGAGAGTGAGAGAGCGAGAGTTTCTTTTCTGGTTTCTGTTTTGTATTGCTTTTCTACACGGCCTGTAGAGTGAGAGAGAAGGAGAGACAGAAACACACCTACACTTCAGGTTGGAGAGCCGCAGATACATTCCACAGTACACATACTGGCTGCTCTCTCAGCTGTGGACTCTGTTCGAACAGCTGTTGAAGGCGCGACTGTTGAAGTTGACTTGAAAGTATCTTATGGATTTATTTCATTTTTAAATCAAATTAGACTTTGAACATTAAAGAAAATATTTTAAAATTAGTTTAGAAAATCAGAAAAATTTATTATAAAATAAGAATCCTTATGCCTCCACGTATGTTCTAGAAAACATAAAGAAAATGTATCTGGACGTGAAAAAAATAAAGCAATTTTCCACACTACTGTAGCACACTTTTAGGCCTTTTTTTTAAGTGTTTAGACTTGATATATCTTATAATAAAATCAAAAACTTCAAAGTTTATTGTTAACAAAATTTGGCATCTTTTTTTATTCGCGTCTGCAAAAATAAAGCTTTTCCTTCGTCACTTACAAATGGTAAATAAATACATGGATTCAGTGTTGGTTTTTGTTTTCTTTTTCTGATGGGCCCGACAACTGTCTGGCCAGGAATATTTATAGGACAGCTCCTTCTATTGTGATGATCCAATCCTAATCCTCTTTGACTGTGAAGGAGTGCGTTAAGCCCTCATAAGGATACTTTCCGCCTAGGATGTACTTGTACTCGCCCGAGTGCCGGATGCGATACTCCCCAGGAAGCGTTTGCGGACTAATGTTCCAGTAGATATCCAGCTCGCTGAAGCCCAGGATCGTGTTGGTCCGGTGCCAGATCATTCTGAAAAGAATAAAGAGTAAATTAAGTTGTAGTTAAATATAATTTAAATCCCTTTCATCTCTACTCACTTCGTCTCCCAACTGGCGTCCGTGTAAGCCACCTTCCATCGATCCTCATTGATCTTGCGCTCGACGGTGAAGTAGGTCTTCTCGGTGAAGAGGTTGTTGCGCGGATTGCCGGAGATGTAGGTGACCTTGACGGTGTCATTGATGCCGTACTCCTTGTTGGGCTGTGACTTGACGTAACCAAAGTCCGTGTTGATGGGATGTCCGTCGAACAACACTCCCGTATTTAGGGACAGCATCACATCGTTCATGTACGGCGGACTTGGACCCGGTTCCACTGTCTGGTTATTCATCATGGCCTTGGTCAGACGCTCAAAGACGTCCATGTAGATGGAGTGGGTATGCGGGCCAAAGATCGTGGAAGCTGCCTCGTAGCGCTGCGCCTGGTACTCCTCCGGAGTCACCGTGTAGCTAGTATAGATGTTGGTCAGTCCGGCAATGATCACCTCGGTGTCCGTTCCCGTGGCAGAGGCAGCTGCTCCGATTTGATTGCGCAGTCGACGACCCGCCATGGTGGTGAACTCACAGGGCACGGCGGCAATGATCACATCACCAATCTTCAGGAGCTGGTCGGAGACAATCTTGGGCTGCCACTCGTAGGGGAAAGTAGCCTGGAAGTTCAAATTTTTATTAAAAATTATATTCCCCTTAGAGAATCCCTGGAATTACTCACCCTTCCGGTGGCCAAAAGGATTGGCTTGGGCGCATGGCATGCAATGTCCTCCTGCGAAGGTGCCGCTATAAAATCACGCACAAAGTTCCACATGGCATTGTCCGTGGTCGTTCCCTGCTCGAAGCTAAAGGCGCCGGGACCATCGGTGGTTCCCGCTGCAAAGCTGTAGCCCATGGCCGGCTGGCAACCACGCACCTTGTCGATCTTGCGGGACAGAGGATTGTAGGTGCTGCCATTGTAGTTGGGCATGTCCACGAACTGGTGGATGAAACGCACATCGCCGGTCACCTCCCGGTTCAGATAGAACTTGTCATCAGGATCAGCCGGTCGTCCGTTAATCAATCCCAAGGCGGCGTCGGCCAGCCTATTGCCCAGGATCTGGGTACTCTCGAACATATCCTTGCCGGGTCCGGAGGCGAAGCACTCGCCCTCGCCGGAAGGACAACGGGAAGTGAGTAAATCACATTCATTTCCAGAAATCGAGCACTTGGGACCCATTATATTGGGCGAGACATCACCCAGATTGGAGGAGCAGAAGGCGCCCACGAACTTTCCCTTGCCGGGCATCTTGTTGGGATTGTATTCCTTCTCCAGAACCAAAGCAGCATAGCCCACATTGTCGCTAGTCACCAGCTTGTTGGTGTTATTCATCGAGGTGGCGTGCACCGCATACCAGTTGAAGGCACCCAGCAGGTTGTTCTCCATGTCCATAAATCTCAGCTGGGTCAGCTGCTTGTCCGTGTCGTGGGCGTACTGTGCCCGCTCCTCGGCAGGATTCCGCAGGTAAGAGCTCGGTGAGCGGTTGATGTTTACATCATAAACGGTTCTCTTCGATAAAAAGATCCTGCCGTCCACCAGGTTGTCCGTGGCGCGCTTGATGCACTGCAGGAGGGGAATAGATTGGGTAAGTTTGGAAGAAGAACCTATATCAAGAATGCACTTACCAAATATATTCCCTGAGCCATCACTTCAAAGGTCTGAGGCACAAACCCAAGAATAGAGATATCGTAGAGCAGGTGCATCAGGAAGCCTCCAGGTGCTCCATGGGTGTGGGTGCCACTGATGGCCACGTTGTCCGTGTGGTAAATGTTACCATAGCGAGCCTGCAGGCGCTTCACCACCTCTCTCTTCAATCCATAGCCCATCATTCCGGCATCGGCGCTCACAAAGGCCACGCGGTTGCCGTCCTCATCCTCCACGACGAAGGCGCGGGCAAAGACGCGGGTGTGGATGCCACGGCCAACCTGCTTGATGTTGGCATAGCCCATCTGTGAGAAAAGAAGTGTTATTTCCTGATCTTATTACTTAAAATTTAAGGATACTCACAAAATTGATTTCCACTGGGGGTCCAGTGATGTCCGCTCGACCCACGCCCACTCTGTAGGATGCACTGGCCAAGCCGCAGAGCGAGGTCAGGGCCACAATAACCAACAGAGCAATCTTGCTAATGGCCATCTTTAGGTTAAACTCTTAACTTGGGTCTGTAAATAAAAGCAGAATGGTAAATAAATGTTTTTAACCTTAGGAAATTCATTTTAGAGTTTTTTTTTATTTAAGTAAAAAATTAAGCTTAATTTTATTTTCAATGAAAAATGTATAAACCGTGTTACACCCCAATTAAAACGTAACTATTCGTGACATTATTCAATTTTTTAGATTGATAGATAATGGTTTAGAACATTTTATGAAAATCTTGTTTATATGTGACACAGATTTTTAACAATTAAAAATGTTTAAAAATTACGTAAACAGGGGTTAGCTTCTAATTACAGTTCAAAATATAAATCGCCTGAGATTTGGAGTAAGATTATTAAATTTCATAAAGTATTAAATAAAATCTGGTGGCTTGTAATGCTCAATATATACCTTAAGGCGTTAATTAATGAATATATGCTTATTATTTTAGTTTTATTGGCACTGTATTAAAGCCAATTAGTTTGTTAAGCTGCTGTTAAATCGATAATCTGTCTGTAAATGGTTGTGAAAATTAGTAAGCCTAATTATGTTAATTTTATTTATTTGTACTTATAATTACAACCTTTTTAAACTGTCTCGTTGAGGTAAAAATTGCTACTAAACTTTCTTACAATATTTTCCTGAAACTCTGATTAAAATATAGTATATTTTATACTATATATACTTTGTATATTTATTATAAAACGAAATCTCTATACTACTGCGATTTAATGCATTCAGCGCTTTGTGCGTAGATTGCAAATATTGTCAACAGAACAAAGAATGAAGGGAATTGATATACTAAATGCTTTTCTTAACATTAATATATCTCTATTAATATTTCCCTTTAGTTCTGATCAATATAGAAACCAAAGAGATTACAGATTTAAAGTATCTGACAATCTCCTGCCTATTTCCACTCAATCGCTTTGGCAATCCGCACGTAGATTGCAAATATCTGCAACACAACAAGACTGGTGGTGACGAAAGTGATAATCGGCTGATGGACAGCTCAAAAGCTATCAACAGCGCTCCGCTTGGCCATCATCCATCTATCAATCGGCTGTGGACACATGCGAAATACCCCCCTCAAGTCACCTCGAATGGAAATGGGTCTGAGGTTCCGATTGGGTTTCGGATTTGGGGCGTTGTGTGACCTCCAGCAATAGCAATAACAATAACAAGACGAGAGTAACAATAACAATAGCAATAATAATAATAATAATAACAAAGCAAACAAGCTACCCGCAGTTGGGCGATCAGAGCCGGGGAATCTCTTATCAGACTCGTCTCTGTTTCGGTCTCCGGAACCGGTTTTTATCAGTTGCGAAAGCAAAGCGGCTTCTTCAGCGGCTCAATGGCTAGCTTACAACGTCGAGATTGTGGAAACGCAATAAATATTTAGATACTAACGATGTAATATGGTGAAGATATTTGAGCTATTGAAATTATTTATATTGGTTTGCTAATAGCAAGAGGTTAATTTTGAACAACTTGTTAATAATTTTTAGTAATTACAAAATAATTTTCAATTATAACAACTTAATTTTGTTAAGGTATTCTTTAACTTTCCTCTATATTCTTCATTTTAATTTAATCGTAACCTTGCTCAACAAATACTTTTATGTTCACCGCGAGTGTGTGTCTTGAAACGAAAAGTTGTGGGGTTTTCCGCCCCCCTCCCGATCTTCTTCCACGTCCACCTGTCTTCCCCTTTCTTTCCCTTTTGTCTTCAAGTCGCATTTCATGATGAATCGACTTCTTTTGTATGCAGACAGGGTTCCACATAGAACTCTCAGTGTTCCCGCAAAAGGCGTTAAATAGGAAATCGAGTGAGTAATTGCCTTGCATGTAAAGCAGCTTATGGTGATGCCCCCGCTCTGCACTCCTCCATAAGCCTCCTCGTAAACCATACAACATAGTAAAGCCCCGTGGTGGTCACACACCACACTTTGCATAATTTACACTCCACGGGGCTGACATTGAAAACGAAAATTAAATAAATATGCTCGCAGCTGCAGGGCCATCGCACAAGATACAGATACATTTACGCATGTGCGGATTTCCAGATACTCCAGATACTTTTGGGCTTTTGCTCGAAATGTAACGCACACTTACACGCCGAAAAATGACGAAAAGATACAGATGAGACTGGATATCCAGAGCAGAAAGTATCTCTTGGATACAGGCCGCCAAACGCTGATCGCCGGACAACAGAACGCGCCAATTGAGCGAATTACAGAAGATTTCGGTTGATGAGCCTTTTATACATACACTTTTCGCACTTTATACCGCCTATATTATATGATTTATACTATATACATTCCGCGGAGGTTGCCTGCACTGAGATATAGGGATGCGCGAACTCGTTTTTCGGAGGGTTATGCAACGGACTGCTCCTGGACACTACACGCGTCTCGACTCGGCCACACTTCAGAGCGCATGAAGCATGGAAATGGCCGGTTTAAACTTGGCCCGGCTGCCAATTATCGTTATAATTATTGTTATAATTACTGGCAGCTTATCACACGCTCGCTGGCCTTTTAATTAGTGCCAAATGGGGGCGATTATCCGTGCGGTTCATGTACAGCATTTGCAGTTGCAGTTTCGGCGCTTGTCGATGCCAAAAACCGATTTCAAAACACGCTGGGCCCCCTCTGTGGGTTTTTTTGTTGTTTTCCTCTTTTTATTCCACTTTATTTATCTTTCCACGAACGCGACCGACACTGTAGTTAGTTGTCCCCTCCCCGAAAACGAAACTATCTCAAAGTTTGAAACGAAACGAACCGCTCCGAGATCGAGATCCGTGAAACTGTCGCCTGCTCTGCGCCCAAGCTGGCACTCGACTGATCGACCAAACCAAACCGATTCCAACTCAATCCAGAGACCGAATCCGAGTCCGAATCCGAGCTCGGGGCTTCGGCTTTCGGCGTTTTGCATCTGTGAATGGTATGGTTTTTCGGCTCTTTGGTTTTTATTTATTTCATTTTATTTATATCTTTTTTTTTTTGTGGCTCTTTGGGGGCGTACGTGCGGTCAGTTGGTCAGTTGTACAGGCCGTCAGTCTCTCAATTGCTGTTTGTTCACACGAATCCGAGTTTGAAAAGTAATTCAGGAAAAACATGTGAGAATACAATTCGCAAACATGTTTTACTACAACACAAGACTAATATTTTTAGTATAGATCTAAGATATTTTTGGCAATCTTTTACCAAAAGCAAATAATTTTAACCAGGCTTATTAGTTTTGAAAATATATAAACCATTTTGGGGATTTTATTTTTGAATATCTCCGAACCTTTCTTAAAACCGACTATCATAGTTCTTAGCTATTTTTAACACCTCCTCTAAGGTTGTTCAATAATCGCACCTGCACTGTTTTTGTATGGTTTTGCCCCGATCTGCATGCCTTAAATAATCCAGCGATAGCTTATCATATCGTGGCATTAGTTTCCGCAGATCAGGGTTTGGATTGTGCCACTTAATGCCAAATATTGGAAAGTAAACAAGTGTGAACTTTGACCCCTGCAAACAGGAGATTATCTCTGATATTGCAATATTTGTACAGCTAATTAAATTGGTTGCTTTCTAGCATTAGGCTTACCACAAAAAATGTAGTATTTAGAAAAATACTCAGAGAACCAGGAGAAGTCGGGCCGACTTCCTTCACGATCGAGCCACGCGCTACGACTGAATGGGTGGCCAAAGATTCTCCACAACCAAATCGAACCGGCGCTGAGGGGTCTTTTCAGTAACCAGCCGATAATGGGGTAACTATCGCCTATTTTAAAGTGTATTACCTAGATTAGCCGTGTTTTAATTGCAGAGCGATATGGATAAGGATTAGGTACGTGCAATTGGAAGGGGCGAAATAACACTTTCTTCTACGATTTTTGCAACGTTTGACTAGAAAGCGTTAATTCATAAAATCTCTATAAAATGATTAACCTTCAATTCATCTTTAAAACACCAGTTAACTTATTTAACAGGTTGTATTTAATTTGTTGTTTTAATGAATTCATGGGTAACATATGTATGTATCTATGGAATTCAACCTATGCAAGTCTATACTTTATTATATTCGTACGACACGTGTAGTAAGTAGCCTTAATTCATTGCCAAAATGATAACACAACACTCGGCTAGGCGCTAAACAAAGCATTTTAACAAAAAAAAAATTAAATAATTACGCCAGAACGGATAAGACTCTGATTCGTAATCAATGAACCAGTATAACAGTACTACATTTGTTAATATTTTTATTAAAGACTGTAACGACGGTCGTACATATTTTTTAAGTTTTTATTTCTCTAGTTTTTATTTATTTATTAAAATATATAAATTTCATAAAAACAGACAGCCAACCTGTAACACATTAAATCTAGTAATCCTTGCTCTATATTCAAGCAATTTAGACAAGGAAAATATTTATATGTAATTTCATTAACCGACGAGAGTTTGAACTGAGCAGATCCAGTCTTCAATATTAAGCCAAAACCAGCTTATTTAAGAAAAACATTTGTTTTAGCAAAGTAGTGATATTTTTGTCATCTTTGTTTTACAGAAGAAATCTTCATTCGAAGCAAAGTTCTCGCGAACAAAAGAGAACAGATACTTTAATCAATAACGAAAAATCGGGTAATTTTGACTTATGGTATGATTCCTCTTATGTATAACATATTATATATTCTCTCTCGTCTATAGAAATATAGCAATATAGAAATTAAGCTAAATTTGGTCTCAGCCCTGCCTTTTTTTCTCTCCTTTTTGGCAAGTATTATTTTGCTTCCTTTAATTTTTATTTAAGGAAACTGAAAAGCTTAAAAAACAAGATGCCCACGAAGAATAAGAATAATGCGCATAAATCCCAGGTTTCGGTGCCGAAGTTGTCCCAACCCGAAATCGAATACGTAATCAACGACGTAGTCGCCAACGTTCGTCAAGATTTTTTGGATGATGGCCCCGGAGAGCAGGCCCTGCGGCTATTGTTGCACACTTGGTGCTCCAAGCTGATGGCCAGCCAGTTGCCTAATGATTCACAGGGCTCCAAGGAGAAGGATAAGAACTCTAACATAAGTCCTGGCTTGTCCAGCCTCTTCTTCGAAGTGAAACAGGAAGGGGACGAGGAGCCTGTCTATGGGTCAGACCATGAGCCGAAGAAAGGGGTCTTCATGGAGATGCCCCTTAAAAAGGACGAAGCAGAATAAGGCGCTGGGAAAGAAGAGCCTCCCCCTTGAATCACCTTCTCAGCTGTAATTATCCAGAATTAGTTTAATAAAACAATGTCAAAACAACGAAACAAATTCTTAATATATAAAGATTTTGTTACCCAAGTTTCTCTTCATTTTGAAAATTCAAATTTAACAATATCGATACCTCGATTTCATTTTCCAGCATCGACGTATCGTCTTTCCTCAGAACATCGATAGCGTGCTGTCGATAGTGACATCGATACCTTTGCAGCTGGCGAACATATGTTCGGGGAAGACGCCACCTGCGAACCTGCGAAATTATGAGTAATAAGCGAGAATCTTGCCAAATAACACAACAACAAAAGCCACGACAATAAGCGAGGACAGCGGAAAGCGAGGAGCACCTGGCACGAAGGCAATAAACTGGAGGAATCGGAAAACCAGCAAGGGAAGCCATGTCGAAGGCGGTGAACAACATGAGCATGGGAGTCGTGGAGCCCACGGAGCGGATGAAGCACCTTTCGCACTGTGGGAACCAAATCGAGGTGGACAAGAACTTGCCAGTTACGCGGTGAGTCCGGACTCGGAGGTCCTTCGCCTCCAGGGTCGCGCCAGGCTCAAGCTCGCCCAAGGCCGCCACAGCGACCTTGCCAAGCTCGAAGGCAACCCAATGTGTGTATATGCGTGTGTGTGTGTTTGTCCTTGCAGCTATTACCGCTCCGGCACCGAGATGCTGCGCATGGCGAACGTTTACCTGCGGGAGGGCAACCACGAGAATGCCTTCATCCTGTATTTGCGCTACATGACCCTCTTTATCGAGAAGATCCGCCAGCATCCGGACTACGGCAGCGTCAAGGCCGAGGTGCGTGACATTAACAAGAAGATCAAGGACGAGATCATGCCCACAACGGAAAAGCTGCGTGCCAAGCTCCTCACACACTACCAGCGGGAGTACGAGCAGTTCCTGGCTAGCAAGGAGGCGGAGCGTGTGCGTGAACTGGAGCGGGAACGGGAGCGAGAACGACAGCGTCAGAGGGAACGAGAGCAGGCCGCCGGTGTACCCTCTTTGATTCCAGCCAACCTGCATGTGCTTATTGACGAGAGCAACCAGCCAACGGCACCGGATCTGGGTTTGCTGGATCAGGTGGTCTATCCCAATGACTTCCCCACGGCCGCCAATAGGAGTCTGCCGGGTTCGGGGCTCCTGCTGCCAGCTGCCAACCACGATGCAGTTGCCGATAAGACAGCCAAGTGAGTACTTGAGGATTTTTATAAGGGATCTTAATTTGAATACACTCTTAAAAGCTCCAATTCTGTCACTAGATTCCATGAGTAACATAACCGCAAACTCTTTATATGGAAAATTCCATGACACAACCATTAGTAATTGAAATTCAATATGGTTCTTCAAGATCAAATTAACTTAGTAATCGATCGAAGTGTTTACTGGTGCTGAAATTTCTTCAAGTTTAATGTTTTTCTATTGGGGATATCCCAACAAACATGCACCCTTATTTAGCAGGCAAGGTTTCTGGTTTATCAGCCGATCGTTTTTATGTGCAGTCGTAAAAACCGATCCCTGCTTTGATTAAACCTGATAAGGCGACTGATAGAGCCATTAAACTGATAGTTGCCTTATCTTTGCGATTTCCCCCGATATTTTTAATATCAGTTTAAGTTTTAGAAGCTTAAAATTCAACTTATGCAAGTCCAATTTAAATCAATTTCAATCTAATTTCTTTCAGCTCCAAGCCCAGCTTCGATCGAAACCAAAAGCCGGCTTATAACCGCACGGACTCACTGCTGGCGGGTTCTTTACGTCTCGTCCACGTGCCTGGGGATACAATGGAGGTGTTCCTGAAGCTGGCCCTAGCCAATACCTCCAAAAACATTGAGACTTGCGGCGTGCTGGCAGGTCATCTGTCCCAGAACCAGTTGTACATCACACACATCATCACGCCGCAGCAGCAGGGAACTCCGGACAGCTGCAATACGATGCATGAGGAGCAGATATTCGATGTTCAGGATCAGATGCAACTGATTACTCTGGGATGGATACATGTAAGTAGTTTTTAACTTTAACAATTCATGAGATTTTTAATGTAATTTTTGCTGTAATACTTGGCAGACCCATCCCACCCAGACTGCATTTTTGTCCTCCGTCGACCTGCACACGCATTGTTCCTACCAGATGATGATGCCCGAGGCCCTGGCCATTGTGTGCGCCCCCAAGTACAACACGTGAGTCATCTTGGCCAACACTCTGACTCATTTCAGATATCACTTACTTATCTTTTCCCCTTGCAGCACTGGTTTCTTTATACTTACCCCTCACTATGGCCTGGATTACATTGCCCAATGCCGGCAGTCGGGCTTTCATCCGCATCCGAATGACCCGCCGCTGTTCATGGAGGCGCAGCACATCCGAATGGATGGGCAGGCCAAGATCAAGGTCATCGATCTGCGCAGATAGTCAGCGGATGGCTGTCCAAACAGTGATGTAACCAAGGAAATTACAGAGATTTAATAGGGCGACAGAGAGAGAAAGATAAACTATTTTCGGCAGAGAGTTGTATTTTTGCAAGCAGTTGATCCGAGCTGATCGTCTACACGTCACTTTATTAGCACTCGGCGGCATTTGTTGTTATTTATTGCGTTTCGGTCTATCCGTTCTTTTGCATTCTTTCACCTAAAAGGACCCAATGTGATTTTCAATTGTGGCTTACCGTTGCGTTCGTTACTATCTAAATATATTTAATATGTTAGGCACACACACACCAAACACACTCACTCGGACACAGGCACTTACACCTACATATGCGCAGCTTACAGTGCAAACTATACGGAATGCTCTCTGAAAAGCGAGCATTTTCATCTACGGCTTACTACTTGCAATAACCTGTTGTTCAAAGACAAGAATCATCATTGAAAAGCTATTATTAAAACTGTGTGCATGCTTACCTATTGTACTAAACCGAATAAATATTTATGACTAAGCGATGGTGTTTTGTGTGGAGTTTTAGAGGTTCTTAAGATTGTAGATGAGCTTCAGGAATGAATTCAAAAATCTGATAAAAATATTTATAATTTAACTAAAGGAATGGAATGGACTTAATTATACGATTTATTTCTATTTTATATTTTCTTATTCATTTTGAATATCAAGGAAACTTTTACCAGATGGCGCTGCGCATTTCCCGTCCCTTAGCTCAGCTGGGAAATTTCCCTTAGTAAAAGCTTTACTTGTTTTCTCTGTCCATGAACAGCTGTAATTTAAACAAGGTTAATTTTTTACAAAATAAATAAATATTCGTTTAAACAAATATTATTTCCTTTAATAAAACAAAAGTTTAGTCTATTCATTAGTTTAAAATCTATAAATTTTCCAGCTCAAGCAAAGTGCTCAACTCAGCATTTCCCTACTGCCTTAACATTTCCCATCACAACCACCTAATGGGCCTCTCCGCTGTTAAGTCATGTTTTCCATGTTGTCGCCCCCCAGTTTAGCGCGTTTTCTCGACTTGCATGGTTGGTCCTGTTCCGTTTTCAAGGTCCTGTTCCCAGTGCAGCAGCTGTCACCTCCATACACTCGTTGTCCAAAGGAACAGGAACCTAGTGTGTGTCCACATCCAAGTGTTAATTCAAAGGCCGAGTCGAGATAAGCGGAATTTTGTGCGTACAAATCGATAAAAGAGCAGCTCCTTGAAACGGCAACCCACCCCTGGTCTTACTTCCCACTGAACTTGAACTGCTGAAGGTGAAGCAAAAGCCAAAAGCCAGCGCCCCCACACACATCACCCACCCGGAGAGCCGCCCACCCGGATAATGCCAATGCACATCCCGTGTCCGGTTAATTGGATACCCGCCCTGCCAGTCGCCCGATGCCAAGAAGTAAGTGCACTTTCCGGAGCTTAGTCTTTGTGTATTACCCACCATATATGGGCCCTGCATCCCTCCGGCTGCATCAAGTGGCCGCCAGTTTACGACTTAATTACCACCGCCACCCCTTGGGGGGGGGCACCGCCTAGGCAGAGCTCAGAGCTCACCGAGGATTAGGGGCTCGCGTCTAAAAATAAGTTTGTGGCTGGTAAAAGGAACGCGAAGAGCAAAAGTGCCGACTGGCGGAAAAGTATAAACAGATGGAGCACCTTTGGTGGCTAATAGGGAGGGATATATTTTCCTTTATTAGGAAATTTCATGTTCATTAATTAGTTATTTGATATTTATGGAAGATGTTAGGTTTTAAAAACAGAATACACTAGTTTATGCTTTAAATTTATATTAAAAACACAACATAAGTTTAAGTACTTATTCATCCACCAACCCATATACCCTCATATATTATTTTCTAAATAAAATCTTGCCACCCAAGAGCCATTAATTATGCTGTCTTGGAAATGTTTTCCTTTGATCATGAATAGATTGCACTTGGCAAGGATATGACGAAGAGGACTTACACATAAACGAAAGGGTTCTCAATCGAAATGAGCCATGCTATAAAATGTTAAAAGCTGACAGAGCTTCCGGCCGCCATCGTCCATCACTCTGCAATAAAATAAAACTAAAAAACTAGTATTGTTAAGCGAGCGAAGCCCGGTGTGTGACAACGCGGAAGTGGAGGAGGTTTGTGCCTGTCGTGTCATAAAAAGGACACCCCAAGCCTTGACAGGACTAACAAGGGGAATGGGGTCCTGAACTGACATTTGGCTAACCTTCATGGCGACTCTCTCGCCAGCTGCTGGTTCGTGCAGAGTAGTTGGCTGCTCATGACTGCTGCTCGTAATTGTTCATTTTATTTAACGAACTCAAAGGATGGCGGTGTTGGCCTTGCTAAAATTTAATCCGCGGCGGCGGGGGTGTAGCAAGGGGCAGACGACATTCCGCTGACGATAATACACAATAACACAATTTTCTTGCCCCGCTCGGCTATTTTTAAACTCCCTAAACACGCTTTATTCACGTGCCCTCGCCAGCTGGCCAACGATGCGTATACGCAATGTCTCTGCGGTGTCTTCGCTGCTCTCTTTGCCTGCTGTCGTTGTGTCTCTCTGCAATGTGTCGCTGTGTGCTTTTATCTTGCAATTTTCCCCCAGCACGTGTTTACATTGTAAACAAAGCGGTGCCAGAGCAGCTGTGAATGAAATGCAACTACTGAGTTTCATAAATTTTCACACTGGGAAATCGTCAACCACTTGGCACGCTCGAAAATTGCGACCTTGCCAGCCATGCATGTGAATGAACAGACGTGGTTAGCATAGTAGAGGTTGGGATTGGGAATTTAAGGATTTTTCCTATTTGGGTTTTTTCTAAATATAATATTTTATTTAATAAAAAACTAGATTTCTTTAACTTAAACATTTTAAATTATACAAAATTAAGTCTTATTCCTATTCCATTGACCTCAGCTGTATGATTCCACCTTGAAACCACTTAGAATGAAATTACTTCCGCGAAGACATTGCACCTTATGATTCGCACTGCAGTTCTATTATCAAATGCGTTTTGTTTTGGCTTAGGAAAAAGCCCCGTCTGGCCAATATCACACCACCCTGTTTAGACCGGGTCTAAATATTTTCGCTGCTTTTACTACCACTGCTGGCATGTTAATTGTGAAATTGCAGTGCCAAGAAAAAGAAGAAAACAATAACAAACTGAAATGAGAATCACAATTAATATGAAACCGAAATGTAATCGCCAGCAGGCTTCTCTCTATTTATTATTTTCTCTCTCTCTCTGTAAATATCTCTATATTGCCGTCGACGTTGCTGCCTCAGTAACTGAAAGCGGGAAAAGCTCTCGACAAAAAGCGGAATCACAATTCAGAATGGAAAAGCAGCGCGTCGCCAGCGGATGACAGACAGGGAAAATCGTGAAACGCGCGCGTCCCTCAAAAAAAATAAACATTACGAATCGAATTCGAAATCGCCGAACTTGGCGCTAAATATAACCGGAAAACTGTCCATAATTTAAACTGTTAAATAAATAAATATAAATAATTAGAGAAATTCTATAACTTTCAAATGAAATATTAATAAAACGCGAGTGAATATCAAACTATAAGAAATCATAAACAAAGTATTACTATAAATACCCAAAACCTAGTGCCTAACCAAAGGTTAAACTGCCTGTTAAATAAGCCTTCAAGATAATCACCGATATCCACAGATAACGTTAACCTGTCTGAAGTTCGCGGCTTTCCAAGAGACTTTTCGATTGTGTTCTATCAAATTAGTGAATATGCCAGATAAGGATGAGGTAACGTTCGATTCAGGAAACTAATTAAATATTTGACTGATAACTGACAATTCAAGGAAGTGACTTTCATAATTAATGCCAATAAGGAGCGCGTTACGAAATAGTCGACAGATAAATATTTGATATCTCGACAAAGCTCGCAGGCCAAACAATTATATAAAGAAATAAAAGAATATAATTCCAAGTGAAAAGCTTTCAGAGCATCCAGCGATTCAACGGTATTCACCTTCCGTTCCACGGATTTGTCGCTCTGCTCACGACTTTGGAAAAGTCACCGCCATTATCTCAGGCCGAGTTTCTCCGTTCTCAGTTTCTCCGCTTGCAGTCTCCGATCGTTCCAGTTACCTTACCCCTTCTATATAATATCTCTCTGCTGGTGATCTCCCTCTCTCTTTCATGCTGGGATTCTCTCTAGTCCATTTGCTGTCGTCAATTAGCCAGCTGACTCTGGTCCCATGGCTCACCCGGCGTATACGTAATGTGTGTCCGCGGTGCAGCTGTTGCAAATTCCCAGCATATTCGTCCGGAATAAATAGTTTGCAGTTAGTAAAAACTTTACTCACATAATTCGAATGCCTTCTTATTTTGTCTCGAACATCCAGCTGTTCAGTTTTCCTCTACAACTTCGGTTAACGAGGAGAGGGGTGGCAAAAATTACCTCATCGCCACAGCCATAGCGATAATGAACTGCCGGTTTGACCTTGAGGGAAATTGCAAATAAAAACAAAACTTTACCGCTCGTGCAACAAATTTCCACAGAGCCAGAACACGGAAAGAAACGATATTCACTTTAAAATTTCATATAAATTATAACACGTTGGAAAGTATATTCGGTTTGTGGCTTAGATTTTTCCTGTGTACTCACAGACACAGATGCCGAGATATAGTAACAGTGACAAGCACGTGCCAGTCGCTGTAGGCGGGGAAAGCGGGGGAACCCCTGCAACCTTTAACTGGAGAAAGGCAGGGCGACGACCATGGCCAAGAAGAACTCATTATGCAAATGCAACAAAGCAGAGGTCAGGAGAAAATGTAGGGGGAAATGAAGAAGGAGAAGGAGGAGTAAAAGCCAAACACAAACACAGTGACAGCAGAGACACAAAATCCAAGCAAACAAACAAACAAATCGCTGCTGTCTGCCGTCACACGGGGCGTATGTGTAACATTTTCCGCTTGTTGGCGCTGCCCGAATGAAAAGAGGAGCAAAAAATAAAAAAAAAACAAATTCTAGCTTGCATGAATTTATAAACATGCACAAGTACATACATTTGGGGCTTTTCAAGTTCAGTGTGCAACGGCAACAAATTGAATCCGGGGGCTTGGGCACAACTTCCTTTGATTACATTCCCAGCTCGGTCGGCTTGGATTGGATTGGATTATTTCACGCCCACTGAAGCTGTCGCAAGGCAATAGTGTTTTCTCGGAAAGTGTGACGAGGAAAATAAGCCTGACCTCAAGGGATTGTGTACACAAAATTATAAATTAAATCCTCTACGTTGCTCCTTTGTTTGAAAACAAATTAACATGCCCATATTTACTCTCTGCGAAATTACAAATTCACAAACCATTATTTATTCAATTTTTAAAGTAAATACATCCGAAATATTTGTATACCTATACTTAACAACTTTATTTCTTTAAAAAACAACAGTGAATGGGGAGAATTAATATGCAATGAATATTAATTAAAAGCATTGCTGACCTGGATTGTTATGCATTGTTAATTAAAACGCGCTTAAAA